TATTATTATTTATTTATTTCCTGATAGTGATCTTCAGCCTTCTACTTTGTATTATTAAATCTGCTTTAGAACAACAAATTTGCCTTAGTAGCTCCAGGAGATAATGGCTTTTCACACACAAAGATAAATTACCATAAACTACCCAGGTAGTACTGCTTTTCACTGTAAAAAGGGAGATGGATATGTAACACCTTTAATAATGCTAGTCATCAGTAGTAAACTTCATAGATGCAAATTTTACAAATGATGAATTAGTGAATTCTGTGTATCAGTTCCCATATTTACAATAGGTAACATTGAGAGAAAACACAAAGTCTTTCCATTTTGAAGTACTGGGAACAAAGTTTCATTTCTGCTCAATTTTTTCTTTTTTTTTTTTTTTTTGATGAGCAAGTCCCACACAATACTAAAAAAAAATAATTTCTTTCTTGCTGAGAAGAGATTACTTAGTTTTCTCTCTCACAATGAATAACAGCACTCATTATGAACAGTTACCACACAGTTCACATCCCACGCATTCTTGCTTAACTGTGATTTAAAGTTTTATACTGCTAATGGCTCACTGTTCCCTAGCACTCAACTGTCTGTTAAACTGAACAAAAATATGAATAAACTAAGGACATTAAGATTTATATGTTGTCGTGGTGCCAGCCTTGCTATTAGATGCCACTGTCATATCTTTATAAGAATTTTTATAGAATACTTTCAACCTGTAACTACTATGAATGTAGTGGCACTCTCAAATAGAAACTTAATCTGGTTTTTCAATTTTGAAAAATGTTTGCTAATAAAAATGCTTTTGGAAAAAAAACCAACAAAATCCCTTTCCAACTGAGCAAGTCTATGAATGATTTTTTTATACCTTTAAAAAATTGTTCGCAACACAAATTATATTTAAAAAAAAAGACTAAAACAACAAAAAAAAAACCCCTTTTACAATTTATATTCAACCTCTGAATTCATGGACTGTTTTAAAGGTGATGTTCCATCAACACAGATTAAGGACATTTTATTGACTTTAAGTCTTCACAGAGTTTATTGATTATTGGGAAGGAGGAAATCCTTTACCTTACTTATATCTTCTTAAACATAATAATTAAGGTAAAGTAGGGAGGTTCCTGCAGACTTTGATCCTGTTATGTATTGTAATCGGACTAAGCACATACCAGCAGTTTCCAAGCAGGGGCTCTGCCGTTTCAGCCCTCCCAGTGATGGCGTGAGGGCTGGAGCAGTGATTTGCTGTCATCTGTTCTGACTCCAGCCGCGTGCATCGCACCTTCGCCAGCTCACGTAGAGAGCTGCTTCCCAGGGAACGTCGCCACTCAGGGCGCCCACGTGCATAACTTTGGTTCCAGCAGAACAGAAAACATTTTGGGCGCACCAGTGGGGTACCCGAGTATCGCCTACAGCATTACCAGCCCTGCACATACAACTAATTTGCACCAAACCCTTTGGCACTAAATCATTGATGTGGATGCAGCCTACATGTCCTATATACATAAAGTTTAGTGACAGTTTCATAATTTCTTAGCCTTGATCTTCCTATGCTATATTTTTTGCACATCTGTCTTCCCCTGGAGGGTGTTTTGGATATGATTAAAGCCAGAGAAGACTATTTTGAAAACTGCAGAGGAAAAAAAGACATTTCAAAAAACAGCCCAGATCTTCTCTGGTCTACAGTTAGTGGATACAGTCGGTAAATTCTCATACACAGCTCTTTTCCCTTATTTTTCCCTTTAATTATTAATCTTGTAAGATTTAAATGTTGTTATAGTTTGATACATAGTTAAAATTAATTTTAGAATAAAACAGTTGCTTTAAAATTAAATATTGATATTTGTTTTCATACTCATAAGAAAAAAAGAAAAAAGTAATCTTTCTCCTGATTACAGGAAATCGAAAAAGCTTACCAAATGATCAGACAGGAACAGTCTAATTTAAATCCTGACCTTGGAGAACTCATCCCAGTTCCTCTATACCCCACAAAACAAGACCTAATTCCCAAGCCAAATCAAGACAAACAGAAATGCTGCAAAAAATATAGAAGAAAAGTGCTGCTCACCACAAGCTTTGGAGAATCTTTGATTTGGATTAAAAATGTAACTTTTGTCATTGATGTCGGGATTGAAAGAAGAAAGGTTAGTGAAGTTAACCAAAATCAGCATGCCAAGAATGAACTATGCATAAGCTTTTTTCCAGGGTGGGGGGAAGGGGAATGTGCAGCTAATAGATTGGTGCAAATGGTTTCTAAAGGATCTAATACTTTTCTATTCTTTCATAAGTCAGATTCTATAATATTTTTAACAAATTAACAACGTATTTAAATAACTTTCATGGACATCTCATGTGAAAACCAAGAAGGAAAACATAATTACTTCCTAAATGTAGTCAGAAAACAAAAGTTTCTAAAGCCAGATTAACACTCTCAGCTGAAACTGCCACTCATTTGGGCACAAAACCAATGACATTTCATTTGCAAATTATATCTCACCTTAGTTTTGGCCTATCAGTCATAATTATCTCTTCAGCATCTTATAGATAGAGCAAAACACAATTAGTTCTTGGCTACCTCTTGGCAGATTACCTGGTTTAGTATATTAACCTCATCCCTTGTTTAACAACTTCATAATCAGGGTAGTACTACAGATCACATAGTGCCAAGGGATGCTCATGCAGGGAACCACTTCTTTTTAAAGCTGCTGGTGCTCCTTCCAGATACGTGCTTCCATCCAAGTACCTCAAAACACTGCCAGTTATCAAATTAATCTTTGACCTTTTCCAGTTCATTCTATGTTCTCACTTCTTGTTTCCCCCCCCATCCTGGGAAGGACTAGTGCAGCTACAAATGCGTATCTCTTTTTTCTTTCATTTATACAAAACTGATGTCCTCAAGAATGAGTGACTATGTAGGAACAAATCATTATGTGAATTGGAAAGCTGTGTAACTACGACAGGCTTGTAACCATCCTACTTGTTTTGCTAGTCCAGGAGCAAAAAATTACTCCAGTCATAGGCAAAACCCCAACATCATACAGTTTCTTTATATAATCCAGCATGGAATCACCAAAATCGAAGTTAAGTGGTCCTAAAATTTTGGATTGGGCATCACTAATCCTGATGAGCCTTGGAAGCAGTTCAGGCAAAATCTTGGGGACTACTACTACCTTTCATTTGCATTGGAAAGAACTGTGTCTAACACCATCACTGTCAAGGGTTCTCGTTTGGGGGTTATAAACTAACTCAGCCTCAAGTCATAGGGAAAAAAAATTGTTATACTTCTGTGTCAAACAAAGAAAAGTCTAAAAGCAGTTTTCAATTAGGCCATACAAAACTCAACTTATTTCTGAAACTAGAGTTCCCTTGGATGACAGAAATGAATCTCACTTCCACGGTAATCTGAAGCTTCCAGACTTCTGTGAATCAGAAATACAAAGTGATGGGAAGAAACCTAACGCAGTCCTGATGGCCATCAAATCACCTCCACTGGTTACGCAATTTTAACCCTTTATTTCAGTTATTTTGTCATAACAGCTGAAGTTCAGTCCTCTAATATTAATTCCTCAGCAATTCAAACTCACATTCAATCCATATCGCCGAAAGTCAGTTGAATGTAGAGGGAACAGGCAAAGTTTTGTGCAGAACAAAATCCTGTGTAAGTCTTGCAGTTGGGATATAAAATAAATTTACCTGGAAGAAAAGAAATTTGACTCCTGCACATTCTATCATTCTTATTAAAACCTTGCTTAAAGTAGACAAAATCGATTCAGATGACATGACTAGAAAGCTGCCTTATCGAGCTGTTATATGTCTTGCCATATACTACAGAAGCTCATGGACATCATCTGGTGGTCAGAAGAGTGAGTGAATCAGCTCCTCAGTTTAATCAAAATAAGGTACAATTAAGAAAAAAAATAGGGCATTATACATCTTTTTTACGGTCCTTGTTTCCTGTACTGAATTGACAGATTTCAGTATTAAGACAAAAATCTGGAGTTATGGAACAAAATGTTATCAGACAATGATGAGATTCTGTCATTGGAAGAAATAAGTAATCTTTTTTGATGCTTTTTGTGATGATACCACAGAAATACATTTTGTGCTTTAGTAAGGTACATTTCTTCAGAAAAAGACATTTTTCTTAGAGTATACTTAGAGTTATTGCAAAACGTGTCTATCAATTTATCAAAGCACTGACTGCTCTCATTTCCAAGCTAGTGAAATAACATTGTATAAAAAGAAATGAAACCGTTACACTTTCTGTAAAATGACCTAGACAAAAATTCAATACAGACCATTAATATTTTTGCAGTCTTCACTTTACTTATCTGATGCTTAATATCTTTTTCATTTAAAGGTGTACAATCCTAGAATCAGAGCAGACTCTGTTATAACGCAGCCTATCAGCAAAAGTCAAGCAGAGATGCGTAAACAAATTCTGGGCATGTCTTCATCAGGTAGAATTATTAGCTCAAAATTTAAATCCATTAGTTCAAATTATTAATAGAATCAATGTGGTGATGCAGGGGGGGAAAAAAAAAAAAAAAAGTAATTTTCCTGAAATCTCTTCCAGGAAAACTTTTCTGCTTGTATCCTGAAGAATTTACTTACAAAGAAATGAAACCACATGTACCAGCCAAAATACAGGAATCCAACCTAACTAGCATGGTTCTCTTCCTGAAGAGGATGGATATAGCAGGCTTAGGACACTATGACTTCATAAGCAGGCCAGGTAATAACGATGCACCAATTTTCCATATTTTATTATTATTTCTGCAGTTATTTAAAGATTAATTTTGCCCTTTTATTCACAGTACTGTTTTTTTATTGAAGTGGTTGTAATATCACCACTGCTTTTACCACTTACCTGCTAGAACAGTTCACAATGCAACAGTTGCACTTAGAAAAATGGTATCATGCATAAACTGTTTGCTCTGAAAAAAACCCATAAAGTATCTGAATGGAATTGAAATGAAAAAAAAAAAAAAAAAAAATCAATACTCCAAGTATCTTCTCACCTAGGTTTTGAATTATTTTCCTGGAACCCACAAAGAAAATTTGTGTCCCATTGTACAAGGCATTGTATAAATATATAACAAAACATATTCCTTTAATCAAAAGTTTACAACCCAAATAAACCACTGTTGTTGCCCAGGAGATATATTTGGAGGAAATCAACTTTCTTCTTATCATCCAGCATCTCTTACCTCAAATTTACAATAAGCTGTTCCTTAAGGACAATATTATTTATAAAATAAACCCGAATAAACTTTCAATATTAGACAGGGAATACTCTGCATTTTGAGGTGAGAGCGTGAAGAAAGCGGTTGCTTTTTTATTTTTATTTTTTTTTTCCTGAGTTCCTATTTTAGGGCTTTTTCTGTAGAAGGATATTCTTCTCTGTTCTGACCTACAACAAAACCCAAGTACCACTGCACATTCTGCTGTTGATTTGAAGCCAGTTAAAGTGAGGGAAATAGCACTGATTTCACTGGTTTGGGGTCACGTGACCTATTGCTAGCTTCTTTTATGATAATTTTCCAGTGCAAATAGGAAGAATTCTTATATTATCTTCCCTTTCCTCATGCAAATACACAAAATTAGAACGACGGCTTGTCTTCTATTTGTTGTGCACCATAATTAATTAGTATTAAAGAGTTTAATTCCCACTGTTGGATGTTGTGATGGATTGTAAGTGGAATTTTCAAGTAGAATTTATTCTATTTTTCCCTTGTCTGCCTGTTTGGCAGAAACACGCCTAAAAAAATGTGAAAAAACTTTGCCAGTCTGAGTGGTAACTAATTCAAGACTGATGAGAATCAGAGTATTTTGGCCTTGTGAGTGTCACCTCCTGCGCTGAATCTAGGAAACTGTCATGGAAAATGGTCAGTTGGATTCCACTCAAATTTAGAAAGCATTTTATTAAAAAAAATGATTCTAAAATGTATTAGTGCTTTTACTGGATATGAAGAAAGTTTTTCTTGAACTGTGGAACAAATTAGTAAAGTTAGATTAGGAAAAGCATTCAGTATTTTTGGCTTTAAAGGCACAATGGAGATGGTATTCATAGAGAATGAAATGCTAGAGGCATTTAAGGATTTCACAGATGTCGGAATTCTAAGTTTTGTCTGGATTTTTGAGATAATGCAGCTGAAGCAAGCATCTTGCTGATGTATACAAAATTATAAAGGCACTTGAATGTATCAGCTTTACTTGGAAGGGCATCAAACAGGAAAAAGTTTTTGCTAACTAGATCAAAAGTGCGAGGTCAAGGTATTGAAAAGTTTGAGAAATTACTGAAACAGTGTGAGGAATGTTAGAAAAACTGTTTGAACAAAGAAAAAAATCCCACAAACACTGTAGGGGGTCTGCTGAAAGGAGATGAGAAAGTCTGCACAATTTCCTGGTCCCCTTCCCATCGTAAGGCCCCAGATAATGAAACATTTGAAACTTTGCTTTAATTTTCTGGTACAACCCTTCCTTTATCCTAGGATAGATCACACGTTGGCTTTCCTTGCCCTGGGGTTTTCTTCTTCCCACTTCTAAGCAGGCAATGAACCTCTTTCCTCCTAACACTTAAGTTATATCCCAACCACAATACTCCAGAGATGACTATAAAGCTCACACTATCAGAATACAGACAGTGTGAAATACCTGGCGTGAAATACGTTTGTCTGAAAGAAACAGGAATACTGAAGTAAGCAAATTTGTAAGGGGAGTTAGTTATTTTATTAGACCAACAGACAGAATTCAAAACAGATGTCAAGCTTTCAAGCACAGAAAACCTTCTTTTGGGCCCTTCATCCTCCCGAGAGCTTTGGGTCAATGATTTTGGCCTGTGAAAGTCCAAGTTTTCTCATTCTGTGCTGAGACAGTCCCAACCTGCTGTGCACACTCGATGCCACGCAGGTCTCCGGTGGCTAAAGAAACACGACATCCTCCAGCAGAAGCAGAGACTGAGTCTGAAGCCACACAATGGAGTCCTTGATGCCCAGCTCCAAATACCTCTTGTACCAAATTAAAAGGTAGCCCTAAAGCTTTTTCGTTGCTAGTCATAAGGTCAAATAGATGTTACATCTTTCTGGATTATGTACTGCAGGCACAAGATCAACTGGAATAAAAAACAACACAAGCAAACAAAAAGGCATGGCAGTATTTCTGTCTGCCCTCATCTGACCTGGCCAAATCAAGTGCTGTTCAGAATACACAGATACTAAAACCATAACTGCCTTTCTATTTCTCCCCAGCACAGTTTGTCCTGGGCTTGGCTATTCCATGTCTCTTCATCTCCTTTGAGTAAAGGGACTAAACACATTGCAGCATCTCCCATGTGCCAAACACGTCACAGGTTTTCCTACGCACCGTTTCTGTCCAGCTAGCATTCTCAAATGTTCTTTGCAACTGAATCAGATGGAGACTTTGGGGTTTTTTAATCCAAGGTGAATTTCTCCTAAACAAAATAATGTTTTCCCTGAGATGACAGATGAACTGCTGAACAAGCAAATCAAAAGTACACCAAAACTCATAGCAAGAATTCAAAGAGAAGTACTTCACACAGTCCGTTCCCTGTACGTGAAGCAGAGAACATACAGCAGATAAGTAAAGAAACAAAAATTACATCAGTAAAACATTTTATTTCTGCTCAACAACAATATGCACAAGTGGGTTTTTTTCTGCTGCTCTTTGAGGAAAAATAAAAGCCTGGATTAACTCTGACTCATTACTGCATTATGAAAGCAACAAACATGTCAGGCTTACAGCTGCTGCGTTTAATTCACACTATAATCGAGATGAGCAAATGCAGCAGACTTGCTACCCTTTTTAGAATTCATGAGCCATATGAAAATGTTTTTGGCACTGCAGTTCTGAAGTGCATTATTTGAATTCTTGTGCCACTATAACAGGGATGTCTTTAAATTTTTATCAGTTAATCAGCTAGATCTTTTCTGTGTTATATAACGGGAAGCAAGAACTTTCCCACAGATTGCAGCAACATTATATATCTTTGTAAATCACTAGAAAATCCTTATTTAAACTATGCAAATCAGTATAAAGATGAAGCCATGTAAAATTTCCATAAGAAATCAAGGTGAAAGCAGTTTGCAGATTCTGCATTTGTGCAGAATTACCATAAACAATTTTCAGATTAAAATATTTGTTGATGGTCATAGATACCATGACATTTGAGAACTACACTATTATAACCCCACTGGGAATGGATTTCTAGAATATCCATAATAACAAGACTTGTATAAATGCATATATTTTCAAATTGTTTCAGAAATAAAATTTGTTTGCGCATTTCTTCATTAGAAGCAGACTGTCAAAGACGGAAACTCAGATTATTTACCTTAAGATTTATTGTCTTAAGTTCACTTGTTGATTCTTTCATGTGCGTGCTTTGAGGATGACACAAAGCAGATAGAAAACCAACTGCACTGAACGTCAGTGCTACCCCTGGTGTGTGGCTGTAACTGTGTATTTTTGTTAGGAAAATGCTGGTCAGTCCCTGTCTGCTGGCAGAAAAACACAGTAGGGACCATTACCATCCAGCTTGGAGGGGTGAAGAAGCAGCATAAGGGGGAATGGAACGACTGCAAAGTGTGAGTTTGGAAAAGTAATTTTGAATGATCAACTATAATTTCAAAATAACAGTTATTGAATTGGTGACATCAGAGCATGACAGCCTCATAAAAAAATCATACCTCTGAAGTTACAGGGGAAAAAAGAGAATCAAGATAAAACCTGCACACAGAAGCTTGTCCTTGCAGAAGGAAAAATCTTTGCATAATTTGAAGAAAACTTGGCAATGGATTTCTCCGTATCTTCAGTTTGCTATCCAAGGAGCAATGTTAAAAAACAAAACCAGAAAGTGCTATTCACCGGAATATTCCCCCTGCAGTAATTACTCTGGCAGTTCTGCACGCTGTTAAGCCTCACAGAACCTGGAAAAACTTGTGGTTTGCCAAACAGCGAATCAGCTCTTTAAAGACAATGTCCCTTCACCTGACATTCATGTCAGCTCTGACTTTGTAACAGTTATTCCTATGGAAAGAAAAGGTCTATCAAAGAGCAGGGATTTTACATAGCCAGAATTTTCAGAGTAGACCAGAACACAGGACCTGTAGATCCTCCAGATAAGCATGATATGGTAGTTAAATGCACTATTAATAATCATGAGATTTATGTTTCATTCCGATATCTAATAAGTGAATATTACAGAATTTTTGGCAAATCGCTGTATCACTTGCTTCCTTATACAAAAAGAATTATATTTTTGTATATTTTTTATCACACAGTAAGCACTTCAATTTCAGCCATGTAGGATGTGATACTGAAAGATTAAATGTGCAGCCACCTTTAGAAACATAACTTATTCTGTTCATGTCAAAGTTATAAAAAACCTGTGAAATGAAGAATATAATTTTAAGTCAGCTTGAAACCCTCAGATAAATTATTTCAGCATTAACAATTAGTTACATATTTGCTTTATTAAGCCTAACTATGATCAAGAGTAGGATCTGTATTTATATAAAACTGGTCAGATTTCCCAAGACAAGTCCTGAGCAACCCAGTCTTAAGTAGCCAAAGAACACAGGCAAGGGTAAGAAAATATCAGATAAGGAAATACCTTTTCAATTTCCAGGGATGTGACAGTTTCTTGTTGAAAGCACAGGACGCATCTTGAGAGCTTCTCTTTAATTTTGCTCCTGTGAAAGCAGCGGTTGAGTCACAAACTTGCGGTTTGCTCGATGGCAGCAGTAGCTGGCGTTGGCAAGCAGCCCTAAAAATAATGACGTTCGCTAGAAACCATTATAAGACAATGCAGATTTCTGTTCTTTAAAGAAGAGCTTTCCATATCTAAACATTTACACTACTTTTGTTTTATCATAGTTTGTATTTAAATAGGAACCATATCACAAAGAACTCTCAAATGAGCATTTGCTGTTCTTACAATGGCTTTTGATTGAGTTTGTGCCTCAGAATGCAGACCCATATCTGAAAGCCCTATTCTGTAACTTTTTTAAATTTCAGATTCCTTCACCTGCTTAATCTACCTTTACCATCTTGTCCTTTCTAACACAATAAAACTCCAGGAGTCCTTTTTTTTTTTTTTCTATGTAACACTCATAGCAAAATAGGGAAGTAATTTGTGCTTATAAATCTCAAGGCAACTAACTCTAGGGCATAAAAATGCAAATTACTGATGTTATCCGGGGATGGAAATTGGCTGCCATACAATCATGTATTTTGTAAGTTCTAGCACAAACTACTTTGTTGATTTCTGGAAATTAGCTTTCCGTGATTTCCTGGTAATTACTATCTGTCTGAATGACCATTTTACTCTCCTTGTATTTTCTATCACTGTTATCTATTTACTGTCACTGACTCTTATTCTTCATCAGCTGTTACTTTTAATTTCTTTAAACTTCCTAAGTATTTTCTTCTCAGTTGCTTTAGCTTTTGCAAGGGCTCATCTTTTATCCCATTAAACCTCATATGGCTGATAACAAATGTTCTCTCTAGACAGAAACCCCTTGTGTTTTACAGGCAGAGATATGAACTCTAATACTGAAATGAAACAGGTCCACAGTTTAAACAGGAATTTATAGAATCCTAAGAGAATTCCTCTGAAAGCTAGTAGTATAGTAAGTGTTTTACAATTAAGTAAAGCCGCAACGCTAACAGATTTACGTGCTGGAGTAGTTCTGTAAAAGCTCATGTAAGAGGAATTAATAAACTATTTTTTCCCTTCAGACATTAGTAACAGAAAAGGGTTGAAAACAAGTGTTTGTTTGCTTCCCATTTTACTTTTTTCTCTACTTCATTATAACTAGTTAATTACAGAGTGATGGCAATAAACTAACAATGCCAACAAAGTAAAAACCCAAACTCGAGATTTTCTTGCAGGAAGATAGGGTGCCTGAAGTGAGGTGTTATGACGAAACGTGACCTACCAGCTCCTTACAGGCTTTCTTCGCTTTTAATCTTCATGATGCAGAAGTAGCCTGCCAAAGATAGGTTCCCCTTCGTAATTAATTCAAGTAAGAAATTATTTCTAGTCATGTCCTAATGAAGATACAAGAACAAATACACACCCTGCCTGTGTGGGTAGCTGTGGTTGTGTTTTGGTTGGGTTTTTTATTTAGAGAATTTTTTTTACATTAAAAAAATGTAAAAAAAAATGTTTTACATATGCAAACCAACAGCAGCCCACAGAAACCTGAAAAATTGCCAGTGCAGTCATCAGTTTCCCAGTGCTGGGTACAAGGCCAAGTCCTGCTGCAGTGGAATTTTTGCCACCAACTTCAATGGGACTAGAATTTAACTTGTTATTCATAAAACAGAGAGAAAATACCAAACAGTTCTTTAAACTGGAATAAGGAGAAAGTTGCTGCAGTGACAGGAGAGCAGTTATAAATTTAAAATAACTGGCACTCATAAAAGATATTGACCATTACAATAACACCTGGAACAGAAATCTACCTTTGAAAAGAGCTGGGAGGAAAGTGCTTTCACACTTCGAGTTTCCAAGTTTCCACCAGTGTCTTTCATGCTCTAGCAACTCTTTTTTGGAGAGCATAGGCTTGACAAAGTCTACTCAGCTTTCAGGTTCACTCTCTCTAGCCCCAGAACTGTAGCCACCACGGTTGCACATAAAGCTCTTCTATGCTTCTTTTGCCAAAGGAACCTACTTTCATGAACAGCAGATTTCCTACAGACCTGCTCAAGTTCTCACTTTAAGTACTGATTTGGCTAATCCCACCCTTTCAGACATGTTTTCTTATCACTGCAACTGTGAGGGTCTGAATTTTTTTCGTTACACTATCCTTACAGCAGGACAAAGTGTCGCTGAGAAAACACTTAAGACTAATTTTTTCAAAATCTGAAAAAAATATCAGAATAGTGCTTCACATTCTTCTGGCACCATCTACCAAAAGCAAAAGCAGTCAATAAGAGTAAAACAGCTAGGGTATACATAAGCTCATTCTGTCTTCCACTGCCTCAGAGGCAGAAAACCAAGAGAAAAATAGTGAAAAAAAATAGTAAAGGAGAGATTCAGTGAGATACTTAATGAGAAAGGAGAGTCTTTGTCAAACTCCTTTGTTATTTACTCCCATCCAGCCCAAACTCACTTATTTCCTACATTTTTCCCAAATTAGTCTCTCAGTCTACCTAACTATTTTCCTATATTCACTCCTTATTTTTTTCTGCCTCACTGTTCTCACTTCTACCTATGGAGGTTGTAAGGAAGTTATAACCTACAATAAGGGAAAAGTAAATATTTAATTTTGTTCAGTGAGAAAGTACAGCCAATTGCTAGGGAGACATTTTCTTTTATTATGCTCCCATTTTTCTACTGACATCATGAGAAACTACGTGAAAAAATAATAATAATTTTAAAAGGCAATCAAGAGAACTCCAAATACCTGCAAGAACGGTAAGACAGATACAACTTCTGTAAATGCTTGTCTTTTGGTTATAATCCTCTTTCCTAGAGCTCACTATCTTTGACCACCTCTTTAAAAAGAACAAACACGCACATAAAACATACCCGAAGACTGCCAATAGTGCAAAGAGTTTTTGACATAATCTGGATACAAAACACTATTCAGCACTCACTGTGTTGTGACTTGACAAAAACTGCTCTGACAGAAAAAAGATCAAAGTTATTTGCAGCCCTGTAATTGTTACCCCTTGTTTTCTTCCTCCAGAACATTCTCAGCCTTCCATTCATCTCATTTAGTACTTTTTCTTCTTACCTGTTGTCAAATGACAGAAGCTGACTTCTATAATTTTCACATAGGAAATATACGACCGAAATATTATACTGAGAATTCAAGCATTCATTTATATGTAGCTATTCTCAAGGATTTGAATTATCTTTCCTTTTTATTAGCTCCTGAAAGCCTGATGCAGGCTTTGGAAGATCTTGATTATCTAGCAGCCCTGGATAATGATGGAAACCTTTCTGAATTTGGAATTATTATGTCAGAATTTCCCCTGGATCCACAACTGTCAAAGTCAATTCTGGCTTCGTGTGAATTTGAGTGTGTTGATGAAATGCTCACCATTGCGGCCATGGTAACAGGTACCCATAAATAATGTCTTACTGCATGGCTTGTGCCACCTGCCAAATCCACGTAGACTCTTTCAAAGTCTATTCACAAGGGCAACCCAAAGGCAAACTTTTGTTATTCACATCCCACTTATTTCAAGTAAATGAATATCTTTGGCTGTTTAAGTCTTTAAGCATGCAATGAAACACAAGTAATGAATTCATAAGTAGCACTCCAATTCCATGCTTCAAATGCCCCATTAACTGCCAACCTTTTGTCAGAAAGCATACACAGAACATCCCTTCAAAATGAACTTCCTTATCTCATATTCACGTACATTTGTTACACACTGAAGCAGCAAATTAGGGGAAGTTCTAATTACAAACGATATTGAACTGTTGACCTACAAAGACTTACTTGGTGATCTTGTTTCTTTAAAACTTTAAATGTTTTATAAAACTAATATAACCTTAAGTATCCATACCGTTCTGTCCTGATGGATCACTCTGCTCATACATGGCACTGAGACAAACCAGCTGGCCCCAAACACTGGACACGTGAAGTCTGGAGCAAGAACATTTATATTAGAAGGTTGTTAACTATAGATCTTCCTTCATTTGATGTGACAGAGCTTTCAAACCAACACATAAACCCCCGATATTTTAAACCTATTCATTCTGTAAAAGCTGCTATTGAAATCTTAATACATCAAAGATGCACAAAATCAGATTTTAGGATAACTGAGAGGGGGTGATTCCAGAAGTTGTTCAAATAGCAAATAACAACGATGACTTCTCAGAATCCCACCAGATAGTACAGGACAGGGCTAGACTCAGGTTCTTTCACGTCTCAGAATTACACAGTGATGTTGGATTCAGCAATATTTAGCTGTCTCACTTCTTTCCACTACAGCCTCCTAACTATATAGCACTACACTACTGGTTTTACGGCATAATCCTAGTACAGGATCAACGCTTGAGAGCTATCTACTGCTCAACAGCCACAGCTTAACCTTGCCTGTAGGAAATGTTTTGGCATAGCATTATTGTGCTCTGCCCAGAGGGAATATCCTAGGCCCAGAAATTGTGAGGAGTCTTAGGCAGCGAGGACACGAACCCACAGGACACCAAGCTGCATTAGTTCTTCTTATAGAACAACTTGGGTTTATGCCCAAGCTGGCTTGATTTTTTTAATACTGGGCCTAAACATGTAATAAAATTTTTAAGTACATATATCAAATGTAAACCGTTGAGTAGAAGCACACTTTAGTTTTAAAAAACACAACTATCTCAAAAGACACAATTATGTAGCACGGTACCACAATGGAAGTAAAATGCACTGGAAGGCACAAATGTCAACATGCAGGAGCAAATCAAGGCATTACATCCATAGATCTAGTTTCTTTCTATATTAAAGAAACCATATGCTTGGATCCCAGATAAATTGGATCATTACGAAGCAGTTCTGGCATCAGTCTAGGAGAAAGCTGCTCCCTTTCTTTTGTGTTTACAGCACAAATTAACTAAAAAGAGACTGAAAGAACATATAAATAAAACCTTAGTGAATGCAATAGATTTAGTTCTTCAGCTGCAATCCAACAGTGAAGATTAAAGGAAACTGAGAAAGGAAAAGAAGAAAATGTATCAGTGGAGTTACTACTTGTGCATGCGGCTACGTGTCTTAATAACCACTGGCTTGATTTTTTTCTAAGCTCCTAATTGCTTCTTACACGCACCTCCTGGCACAGAAGAGATTGCTCTCACTTGCTGGCGAAAATTCTCACACCCTGCAGGAGATCACTTTACCCTTATCAATGTCTTCAACGCCTTCAAGGAAGCCAGTGCAAACTCTGCAAGCCAATGTAAGTGTACCCATACCAGCCAAAATGAAGCAAATTGTAACCAATTTTGAAAAAAAAACAAACAAACATTTAGTTCATATATCCTTTTTGAATGATTCTTTCTATAATTGCTAATTTGCAGAGGGAAGAGAAACCTAAGATAGTTGCCATTACAAACAAATATTAGTTTTAGTTTATTAACTAATTGACAGTGATCTAGGACAGCATATCTCATCCAACAAGGATACATAGGCACTACTACAATTGTAATTTGAAGTGATACTGTACCAAACCAGAAAGATGGTTCCTCCTGAAAAAGCACACAATCCAGGTTTAAGATGTGAAATGACATAAAACACTGCTGAGGAGGGACTTGATTCCCCCAGCAGCCTAACAATTCTGGTGGTTTTCTGATAGCTGTCAACTAAAAGGGAAGTTTAAGGGAAAAAAATTGAAAATAGTAAAGTTCAGATTTACAGGAAACCAGATAAAGGCCAGGGGACTGCACAGCCCGCAGAAGCTTTTCACAGCATTTTCCTGTGCTCAAACATCTTCTCGGGTTTGTTTAGCCCGAGTCCAGTACTCGGACACTGGAGTGATAGGTCTGCATATAACAAGCAAGAACTTAGGACAGGACAGTAGGATTGTTTCACATTCAGTCATGCTGAATACTGAAGAGAGGTCCAAGAGAACCTGTCCTTTACCAGCATGCAGGACCATCACCAGCACTGCAAACATGATTTCAGCTCCACATCCTGGCCTGAACCCAGAAAGCCTAAAAAATAGAGTTGCTACTCTTTCTATTTGAAGCCATTACTTTTTACAGACCAAATAAGGGATTTTGAGTATTTTTATTCAGAAAAATACAGCTAAAATTCCATAAAACTAAATGAGGATATCAAGTATTGCCCACTCACTTTAAGAGCAAGGAGCCTAAGTTGTCCGTATGGTTCTTGTTATCAGAATTTTGGACAGCTCTGACACAGCTACTTGCTCCAAAATGTTTTTAATCTATTGCACCAGTCAAAAGCATTTTACAGAGCAGTATCTGTGGATAGTACCTATCAGTAAGACTTTGCTTTAAGCCAAAATACTGTTTTTTCCTCCACAGACTACAGTAATGAGAAATGGTGTCGTGATTATTTTCTAAGCTGTTCTGCACTGAGGATGGCAGAAATTATCAGAGCGGAACTAGTAGAGATTATGAAGCGTATTGAACTTCCTATTTCAGAACCGGACTTTGGATCAAAAGAAAATATACTAAGCATTAAGAAATCTCTCTTATCTGGTTACTTTATGCACGTAAGGAAAAATATTGTGATTTCATCTCACTGAATTGTTAATTTATATAGAATGCTTCCGGAGAACTTAAGTTAGGTAGTAGAAAGGTTTTGATCATCAGAAATGATAAATGGCTTTTTTTTGTCAGTGTATCAGACAAACACTTCTGCCAACTTCAATCCTCTGAGGTGCCGCTGTCACAGCATGAAGTCCACACACGTCACTGCAAGAGGAAAACTGTCAATATGCCTTTCACTCAAAGAGCTCTTTTACTCATAAAACTCTTTAACTTGTAATAGTCTCTCAGACCTCATTTCTTTTTTGAAGATGTTTTTGTGAATACACCTTGGAAACAGAGAATTGACTTGTTAAAAGTTCAGGTATACATAATATACCACTTTCTTCATCTCAACGAAATGAGGTACTCTAACTCATCATAAATAAACATAAATCAGATTGTTTTATTCCCACTTGAAAACACGCTTTCCTTCACATCGCTATGCTCCACCTAAATGTAAGAATGACCCCTCCAGACTACACTACTTCAAGTGCCCGGCCACATGTTGTATTTTAAAGTCTTACAATTCTTTGTTTTCACACAGACCCTTCAAAGCCAAGTTCAGATACTTACTGTATAAGCTCGTCCTCATTTCTTGCAGACAGTTTCCTCTCAAATATACAGATCGACATTTTCTTTAACTCATTTCATAGTATCCAGTCCCTAGCTTTCCTACAGAAATTTGGGAAGAGGTTTAGGCTTTCCAGCTGAAAGTATGTGAATACAAGTTTAATTCCTGGTTTTAATATAATAGGCAAACACTGATCTATGCATCTTGAACATTCAATTAAGTAATGGATAACTCTGCATTTTTTTTTTTTTTTTTAGATTGCTCGTGATGTAGATGGCTCAGGTAACTACTTAATGTTAACACACAGACAAGTGGCCCAGCTTCATCCTTTCTCATCATATTATAACACCAGAAAGATTCCTGAGTGGGTTTTATTCCACGAGTTTAGTATATCAGAAGACAATTCCATCAGAGTCGTCTCCGAGATATCACCCGACCTGTAAGTTAACAATGATGAAACTGTTTCTTCACTCATACCTCTACCACAAAAGTGTAACCTAAGTCACAGACAGGGTAAGGATATGTGCGTACATTGACAGCAATGCTTGGAGAAGTCAACTCCAGTCATCATCTCCTTTTCCTTTATCTGGTTCTGTTGAGAAATCATTCCAAGCATAACTGACTCACTCTAGATATAAGGTATATAATAGGCATAACAGAAAACGATAATTTTCATACCTAGTCAAGCAAGAGGAGTAGGCATCACTGGAAGGGTGAAGAAATTGTTGTTTTTCACGCTTTTTATATTCACTAGTGAATACATGTGGAATAAATTTTACTACTTTGTTGCCAGTATAATTTTGTCACTGTGAAGGCATCAAGCAAAGCTACACACTTTCATTCACATCACTCACTGCATTAGAGCTCAGAACTATTAATAAAGGCAAGAACTGTGATCTCACACCTTTACTATTCTTTTCATGCAAAACAAAACATCATTTAAGTCAGCCTTTTGTATTTCCTAAGGTGTGCAGATCTGTTCAGAAACTGAAGTGGGTCTCAATGTCTGTCACTGTGACTGTAATCAGCTCAGCCAATGAAAAAACCCCTTACAAGTAACAAAAGTTTCTTACAAGGTAAAAGATACGGGGGGAAAAAAAAAATCAAGGAAGAGTTAGCACAGCAGTGTACTCATAGATTAATCTAGCTGGAAATGTCTTTGTTCCCTGAAAAGCTATTTTCCAGCAAATCTTTCTCTCAGTATGTTTTATGTACCCAGCCAGCTAAATCTTCCCATATCAACTATTTATGGATTCAAGAAAAGACTACAGTCTTCCTTCTGCAAAAACCTCTTTATGCCGAGAATACACATTTCACTGTCCTTTCTTTTCTATTTTCAAAGAAAGCTTTTTTCATAATTTTATTGAACCAAAAATACGTTCAAATCCAGAAACCTTACTATTTAATGCAATCTGCAGCATTGAGAACTGAACGACAATCACCTGAAGTGTAGACTGAGTACATTAAGTGCAGGTCTACTGCACGTACAAACTGCTACTGCATGTTACAGAGCATTTTGGTTTTGAGTTGAAATACCAACTTTGTAGCTGTATGCATCAGCATGGTGCTGGTGTCTTTTGTACAAGCCTGGAAATAGCTATTCAAACACTTCAAAATTCAACTAAAAAAATAATGTTTTTTTCTTATTTCCTCACCAGATTCGTGGAGCTGGTACCTCAGTATTATTTTAGCAATCTTCCTCCTAGTGAAAGTAAGGATATTCTGCAGGAAGTGATCAATCACTTGTCACCTGCTTCAACTATGAAGGAAGAACAGAAAACTAACAATGACAACAAAGAAAATGAAAAATTTCCCCAAACTCCCACTGAACAAAGATGTATTATTCAGTGATTTTAGACTGAACTATCATATATTGGAAAAATATAAATAAAAACACTATGTGCAAAATACATGCCCATCTTAACCCATGTAATTATTTCAAACTTTTGACACAAATGTTTTTAACAGATCATATAGAAAAAGCACCTTTCTTAACAAAAGGAGCGGCATGCATTGTTTCGTAACAAAAATAAATTATTTATGTTGGGTTAAAAACATATTGAGCAGATCTTCAAGTTTTCTTGTAACATTGGGTCTTTATTGACTGCTTAGTGATGATACCAATGTATAATAAGATACAATATTTAAAAATATTACTTTGATGGATATTTTAGTTGCACCACCTCCTTGTCTTCTAAGTGTACAGAGGAATCATTTGAGCAGTACAAAACCAGTAGAAGTCTTCTGAAAAGATTGCGAAGTCATAGTTCCACACAGCTGCTTTATAAAAAAACAGCGTTTATAGGAAAGTTCAGAGTGAGAGATAGTCTTTGAGTTTATCCATAATTACATTAATTCCATTGGCTGGAACCATCATAACAGTCCGCAAAGGTTTCATTGGTACATCATCAAAGGACCATCTGCCGCCCAAACAGGTGTCACTTTCCTCTTGCACAGAGTAGTTGAACTTCAGAAGGGCTTTCTAAACAACAGAAACAAATGCATTAAGATTAAAATTTTTAATTAGCATGAAGATAACACATCATCTAAACAAAGTAAAAATAATGGCCCTATTATGCACATGTTTATTAAGAAGTTATTTTCTTCTCTCTCAAAAGGTCCACCAAAAAAACCTACAAGAATATCCACTATTAAGTGCTTTAAACGGTTTACTTTTCACAGAATTTATATTTCACATTAAATTCTAAAATTATTACAATCATTATAGTTTGGTGTCAGAAAAAAGACCTAAAAGGGGAAAACCAAAAAATCCAATCAGTGCCCCCTCTATATGCTTACTGTGCCTCATTTTAGATGGTTTGAAGACAGCATCTCATTCCACACTATCCCAGTAAGAAATGCCAACCCTTAGAAGCTATTGCACCACCTAGCAGGGATCCTTGACCAGTAACAGGAATATCAGGCTCTTAACATGCATTCAAGAATAAGAACAAACCACACAAGACCAAACCACTAGCTGGGTAACTTTAAGAATTAGCAGATCAGCCAAAACGCAGATAAAAGCACAGGTAGAACAGAGCCTGTGTACAGCTTGGTGTGGGCAACATGTGGAAGGCCTGTCACAATGACCTGGCTCTGCTCTTGTTGTGGCCTACTCTAAAACTCCTCAGAGTCCTAAAAATTAAGCTATCTGTAAGAATATGCAGTACAGTAATCCCCTCTTTCATTCTGCCAGTAGAAATTAAATATTAAGGGGATGGTCACTAATATGAATGCTGAGCAGAATTTCAAAAAGCTCTTGGAAAGTTTCTTGATGGCTGAAGCCACTGAAAGACCTATTTATAAAGGATGCTTCTTCAAATAGGTAGGTGTCCACAATGTGTATTATTTCTTTTTAGTGATACATACTGCATACAGATAGAACAGTCTCTTTTTATTAGCTTTCCCAGACAAAACGCCTGATGGATAAGAAAAACTTGCCTAACAAATGTTTCTAGTTCTCACACAAGTCAGATTAAGAAGTATGAACTGAACTCCTAAATAGAAAAACTTCTCTTACTTCCTTTCATTGCAGGGAAAGTTAAGATCCAGTCTCCTTTTATGTTTGCTATTTACTAACAGCATCTCAAGGTTGTAAATTTAATTTTGGAAGCACCATCACATTAATTGCGTGGCTTTGCTCAAGAACAAACAATTTGAGCAATGGAGGCCATAAACCTTTAATCAATTCTAAGTCTGGTTATAATAGAACTTTTCTTCTGCTCCCTCAATAACATTTTAAGGAACAGAATAAAGCACAGGGAACTGACAAGCGCAAAAAGGCATCTCTCTGGTTTATTTCGCTCTATGTGTCTTCCTCACTGCATTTAATACTATTTTATGTCAATCTAATTAACATTTTGTTTGATCAGGGAGGATATACATTCCAATACTAATTTAACACATATACGTTATTAAGTGTCCTCCACAATGTTTAAAATACATTTGTTAAAAACACTAAAGTCTGTCCACTTGAATTGAAAATTATTACAATTTAGATAAAAGCACACAATTAGTCTTTCAAATGCCACTCAAAATAACAAAACCAGAGATAAATACAAAATAGGACTTCTAGAACATAACACCCACGGACACATGGGCATCACAGGCTTCTCCCCTTCAGTTTTTCAATAGCATGTTTACATAGAGTTCAAGTTCAGCAAAACTGCTGTGGCAGGAACATAAAAAGAAAATCCCAAACTTGTTACTGCATACAGGCTAACACAGTATTCCCTAGAGCTAACAATGAATTCACCCACTTACATTTTTCTTCTTCCCAAGAAATAAAATTACAGCCATATCATAGCCTCTAACAGAGAACGTCATGAACGATTACACACAGGAACCTTTGCCATTAACCATATGATGCATGTGCAAGTGCTTTATCCTGTAGGCACTGCCAGAAATGAAAAATAACAGGCTCTTGACAAAGCAATATTGTAGAATAATATTTTTAAAGCTTTGAAAAAAATAAAAAACAATGAAAAATTTTTTGCATTTCAAAGTACATTTTTAATTTGATTTCCTGCATCTTCCCCTCTCCTGATTTGGCTTGGAACCAACAGAATTGTGTAGACAGGTTGCCTCAGGAAATAGGAAGTAACATTTTCATTTCAGTATTTGAGCATTTTTTTATCGATATACTTGTCCTGAGTAGAACAGAGACAGAAAAGGGAAGTGATAGCTACTTGTTTGGATCTTCTGAGCATTTTTTTTTAAAGTAACAGGTATCCAAAAGGAAATAGATAAATCAGCTTTCCACATAATACGCCACCACCACAAATGCAGAGCTTTGCATCTGTTAAATTTCTTGGGAAGAGATCTCAGAGAAATACATTTACCTGCATTACCAAATCTAAATAAGCCTCAACAGCAGTTATTTCTGACACAGGACTATGTAGGGGCAAAGAAAGAGATGGGTGTATTTAAATACTAACATGCATTGCAGATGCTGATCAAGACGAACAACAGTGATTCCTCTGCATTTTTTTTGAATCCTTATTCTTCATAGTGCTTAAAGCTGTGACAAATGATTACGTTAGAGCACCCTTGCAAGCTAATAACAGGTTTTTTGAGCTGCCATTCTTAAACACCACTTGTGATGTAAATCAAGTTAGCATGAATCTCGCTACCAGATATTCAGGCTAACCTGCACTTCTTGCAATTCACACACTCAGACTTCTGTGTTCAGCTGACACAGCAATTCAACAAGTCTTTCACATTTCCTGTTATTCAGACTAAAGATGACAACTGCCCTGTTCCCCAAACAAAAGGAATTTCAAACTTTTGTAAACTCTGAAGGCCTGGGACATGCTGCTAAATTCAATATCCACATTTATTACCATTTGTGGACATTTCATTCATAGGATTTCAACAAGTCTGACAATTATTACATACAATTCAATCCCTTCGGCATTGCCATATGAGTAAAGTTTGTTAATTCTTTGAGGCTGAGACACTGGCCACAAGAAAAGTAACACCTCATCTTTCCCCTAAAGTCTCCACTATTTCAGGTATTCTTTGATTCTTTCATTATCCTCATAGCACCGGAGACTTTATCAGGTAGTAACACTATCACAGGCAGAGTCTACACCGTACCATCTTACAGTCAGGTTAATTCTGACCTGATACAAATAATATATTAGTAAATTCATGCCAATACAGAGGATTAATTTAATAATTTGGACTTATGGAGGCACACTTCTTCATGATTCTCTAAATACAAAAGGTGTTGTGTTCAATACACAAAAATAGGTTGCTTGCTCATCTCTCAAGACTACTCTAAAAAGAGCTGGATTTAATTTAAAATATATTTGAGCATATCTTTCTAAAATCCTCCCTTGAGTTTACAGTGAAACACCTTTTTTGCTGATACATAAAGAAAAACAAACATTTTAAATTAAAAGTATAACATATGTTACCTCATAAAAGAATTCTTCCTCTGCATTTGCAAACATTAATTCCTCCTTTTGCTGCTTTCTCCCTTCCCTCCTCTTAGAATTGCTCTTTGTGGCTTCTGTAAAGGTCTTGCTGATAAGAAGGTAGTAGTGACACTTTCCACAAGGTTTGTTTGTTCTCTGTGCCTCAGTCAACTCTTTCCTAAAGATAAATAAATGTTTATACATACAATTTAAAAATGTTTACACATACAATTTTAAAATATGTTTACATACACAATTTAAACCCTCAACAAGTTTCTAAGTAAATCTTATAATGTATTAGTATAGAAAGGATATTCATGTTGCAGCCTATTCTTTTATGAGTGCCTCAGAAAATAAATTTTGCATACGCATTCCTAGTACTTAAACGTATTATTTGCACTTTAAAACAATAAAAATATGGATGTCTTTCCACACCTCACAATATAACCCTCTTTTTCCCAGAATCCTGTTCACGGTAGAGTCTGTGAAATGATTCCAAGTGCAACTCTCTTGAAAACACATCACATTATCACTTCCACGAGGAACTATAACTGAAGAACCAGAAAATACTCTTGCCCACCCTTGTTTTAACCATGTCATCACTGCAACGCTCCAAAACCTTTAAGACAGAGGCTGAGATCTGAATAAGTACTAGTGGTACATGTCAAAGCTAAGCCTTCAAGCCCCTCATTTCTTTCTCTAAAAACCCTCCAAACCAACCCTACATACGAGTGGTGGATTGACCCCGGCTGGAGGCCAGGTGCCCACCAAAGCCGCTCTATCACTCCCTGTTCTCAACTGGACAGAGGAGAGGAAATATAATGAGAAGCTTGTGAGTCGAAATAAGGACAAGGAGAGATCATTCACTAGTTACTGTCACAGGCAAAACAGACTCAAGTTAGAAAAAATTAATCTAACTTATTACCCAGAAAACAGAGTAGAGCAATGAGAAATAAAATGAACTCTTAAAACACCTCTTCCCCCACCCCTCCCTTCTTCCTGGGCTTTACTCCTGATTTCTCTCCCTCCTCCCACCAGCAGCACAGGGGGATGGGGAATGGGGGTTGTGGTCAGTTTATCACACGGTGTCTCTGCCGCTCCTTCCTCCTCAGGGGGAGGACTCCTCACACTCCTCCCCTGCTCCAGCCTGGGGTCCCTCTCACGGGAGACAGTCCTCCACCAACTTCTCCAACGTGAGTCCTTCCCACGGGCGGCAGTTCTTCACCAACTGCTCCAGCATGAGTCCCTTCCGCAGGGTGCAGTTCTTCAGGATCTGACTGCTCCAGTGTGGGTTCCCCCAGGTCCTGCCAGGAGCTTGCCCCAGCATGGGCTTCCCACAAGGTCACAGCCTCTTTCAGGTGTCTCCACTTGCTCCAGCGTGGGGTCCTCCACAAGCTGCAGGTGGAATCTCTGCTCCCCATCATCCTCCATGGGCTGCAGGGGGACAACCTGCTTCCTCACAGCCTTCACCGCAGGCTGCAGGGGAATCTCTGCTCCGGCACCTGGAGCACCTCCTGCCCCTCCTTCTTCACTGACCCTGGTGTCTGCAAAGTTTCTCACATCTTCTCACTCCTCTCTCTGGCTGCAAAAGCTGCTGCTAGGGTTTTTTTCCTCCTTAACTCTGTTATCCCAGAGGCACTACAACCGTCACTGATGGGCTCAGCCTTGGCCAGCAGCGAGTCCATCTTGTAGCCGGCTGGCATTGGCTCTGTAGGACACAGGAGAAGCTTCTAGTAGCTTCTCCCAGAAGCCCACCCTCTAACCGGCACGCTACCAAAACCTTGCCACACAAACCCAAAACACTTTCCTATCAAAGTAGTAATTCCTTAAAGGTCTATCTTATCGTTTCAATGAGCCATAACAGCAATCAACTTCATCTGACTTCTAATCTCACCTCACACAAGAGAAAAAAGGAAGAAAAAAAAAAAAAAAGGAGAAAAAAAAAAAAATCTTCATTTGATTACTGGAGTTCCTTATCAACATAATTTCCTGATTCTCAGCATGGCACTAAAACAATATAACACTTATCTCAGTGGATTTATTTACCTACTGTCACCCAGCTTATGATATAAATCCATGAAGTGGTCGAGATCGACCAGCACCTAACCTGCTTCACTCATGTACTTGAAACCAATCAAAACATGGCATATGGTTTTCTTGGACCAGAACTCATTCACCTTGTAAGCCTGTCCCTCAACTGAAATCTTCCATTCCAGAGCCAGACATTAAACACATGAGCAGAAACTTCCAAATTACTCATTAACAGAATGCTATAAAAAGTTCTTATTTTTAAATTTTCCTAGATCAATACGAAAATAATCTGCAATACAATGATAAACTACTATATACACACAGCTATTTCTGCAGTAGAACAGTACATATTCTTAAATGATTTCTTATATCTTAAAACATTTGAAAAGCCTAAAGATATAAAAATATTAAAAAATTAACTAAAGACCTTATATGAGATGAAAGCATTTTTTCTGTTCCTGTCTTACTTACATCTATAGTATCACCTGCCTGAACACAGTTCTATATACAGATTTCTGAAAAAAAACCCAAAAACCCCGTGCGAAGAAAAAGTACTATTCAACATCATGTCAAAAAAACCTCCAAACTTACTGAAGCTGCTGGTGCATGGGCAAAGCAATCTGCGGTGGTACATTAATGAATCTTTCACTTAGTAGAAGACCCACAGGCTTAGTACTGTCATTTAGGAGCTTATTCAGTTGTTCCACTACATGTTGTTCACAGCTCTGCTCACATCGACTTAGAATCAGCTCTTTGATTTGTTCAGCACACTGTGTACCCTAGAATCAAATGGTATATTTTCTTTACATTATAGAACAATTATTTACACAAGAAAAACTTGAATGTGAACTTCAGGGACATATTCTACAGGCCTACAAGCAATCTCCTTAAGCAGTCCCTAAAGCACTGCACAATTTCTCTAAAATTATTTACCAAGCCTGAAGCTGAGGGCAAACAAAGGTTCTTAACTGAACTGAAGCTAGGAGCTGCAACACCAGTAGACTCAACAGCAAAACTCAAAAGCTGCTAAACATGAAAGTGATGCAATGCAAGAGGCTGACAGCTCAGTTACCCTGGAACTACTTCTTAGACCTAGTTTTAACTCTCTATTCCACTCTTTGCTTTCTGTTTGCTCTTCAGCAAGTTACGCAGGACTAGATCCAAAAGAAAGCTAAGTGATGTGCAACTTTTAAGACCGTAGTCGTCCATGGTGGAATTCAAAATCCTGATCCAGCTGTTCAGGCTTTTCTACAAGACAGAAAAGCAGGAGACAGTCTCACTTACTACTGTCTAGACATTAATGAGGAATACCAACCTTCCTTTCTGTTAAGTTTAAGCAGCTGATAAAACCAAAGACTTCATCATCATCTTCATCATCGTCACTACTGTCTTCTTGGACTTCTGCTTGCTATTTAATGAAAGCAAAAGCAACAATTCATATTGACATTCTATTTCCACTCTCTGCAGCAAGAAATGTTTTTCTTTCCAGAAAATGCTCAGCAGATGACAACCATCTAGGTAATCTGTACAAACACACAGTCTACAAATTCTGGTTACGGTTATGAAAGTGCCACATCATTGAATGTCTCTGTGTACTTGGAGCCAGCTATAGGGAGAGCCAGGTCATGTATCTTCTACAGCAGGATCTTTTCAAAGGCACTAAAATTCGATAGCTCACATATAATAACCAGCATCTTGGTACACGGAATGGCAATATCTTAAGCAAAACTAATTTTCTTCAGTTTCTAACATAGGGAAATAAACCTGCAAAGTCTTAAAAACCATCGAGCAATAGAGCTTTGATAGAGAGTGAAACAAAAGGCTCAACAAAACTTCGCAATGAGGAACTCTGGTAAAAAACTGGGGGTCATGCAGTTGTAATATAAGGATCATTTTGGGCGGAAAAACTATTGGCACAGGACAAAAAGGGAATGTATAGCAATGATACCATGCAACATGGTACAACAGCACAAGTGTGCCGTGGGGGGCAGCTTGTTTGGGTTTGAAAGCAATGTGACCATGGCATCTTGAGCACTATATACAGCACTGAACAGGTGCTTAGCCAGGAGTAACTCAGGAGCCTCTGCAGAGTGCTCCACTGCCACAGCAGAAGTTGTTCAAGACTCTTTTCAGGATCCTTTCCTATGCCCAGAGAACTCTGCACAAAAGGAAACTGCACGCGGGATATTTTTGGTCTGTATCTCTGTATATCCTGATGGAAATCACAAGGTGCTATTTCTTATGGAGACGGTAATAAACTTCTCGACAGCATTTACAGCATTATTACTCTACTACACCAAAATTCAGAGAGAAAAGTGAAGCGCCTTGCATATGTAAAAAGAAAACAACCAAAATAATCAATAAAATTCCTTGTTTGCTTGAAAGTAGGCATGGAAAAGCAGGCATTGAAAGTACGCATGGAAAGTAGGCATTTCAGCTCCCACAGAAGAATTATTCTCAAAGCAAAAAAAAGCAAGAAAGCATACAAATTACAAAGACAGGATACCCTTCTGAAAGTCTGTTATGTCATTTCAACATTAAAAGTATTGTACTTCATTTACAAACATAAATTCTGTCTTACCTTGATAATACTTCCAATATGATTCTGTTGTATTAATATGTCAGTTAATTCAGCAGTGTTAACAGGAGCTTTTAGAAACAACTGGAAAAATAAGAAACAAGTAGTAAGAAGTTTTAGGCCTGATGATATATCATGGGCCACTTAGTAGGAAATAAAGTCAGTAATTTCTCTAAGTCATTATGCAACACTCTGTTCCATTTTTAATTTCCATTCAGTGAGTTTGTTTATTTAACTTCCTTCAATATAATACTGTAAAGACTAAAAATCAGCTTCTTGAAGCCCTTGCTCCTCAACCCTCCACAAGCTGGCATTTCACATTCCTGTTTCAGTCTGAAATTATGTGAATGCTTGCTGAGCATAGGTTTACAACAGAAACAGCCAAAAGAAGACTGAAAGCTGCCACACTGAGCAGAGGCATTACAGTCCTTAAAAAGCAGACAAACAAGTAATTTACAAAAAAAACCTCCAGGAAGCTGTTTAACATTGAATGAGGTTTTCTGGGCAGCAACTAACACAAGGAAGATGGAAAGATTATACACACTGTGGAAGAACAGCACTACAACTCATTAGGTAAAGTTCTTGAAACCATGTTTTAGGAGACACATGTTCACTGTGGCTGTAATTATTTAATCTTTGTGAGCTGTGGCATAGTAAAACTATGAATCAATAAAGACAATGTGAACTGATGACTTTGCATAACTCTTTAGATATTATTCATTAAAGGAAATATCAACCAAGCTAATAAGAAGTCAGAGTACCTGTTGTAGTAATTTCTTTATCCCATCATAGTCATTATCTGATATGGAATGTGCTTCAAATTCAATATTGACTTCCTATGAAGAAGTAAAATACAGAATATCAAACATAATTGACAAAAAGCTGTATCAAAACAAAACTAAACTGTAAGAAACTTGAAGACAAGTAATGGTCAATATCAGAAATAGAATTTATTTCCACCTTTCAAAAATCTCAGCAGTTGTTACAGTTATCATTTCTTCTGTAATCTTTAGAGAGCATCTGTGAAAGTAACTTTTAAAAAGTAACTTACAAATTGTATTGTGAACAAACCTTTAATGCTTTGTTCCTGCAATCTGGTTCACACAATTATGTTTACTGTAGCCACATAGACTCTCACTGTAGAGAGGCTTGATCCAGGCAGTTAAACTCTTAAAACTGCAGGATTGGAGTGAAATGCCTTGGCTAAAGATGAAGATTGCTGCAGACATTTAAATAATTACATCCAAAACCATACTTCTGCTATTTCCTCAAATCCTTATGGTATCATTAACCCCACTCTGGAAGTCTGTTCCATAGGCACATGATGAGACCTCATCACAGCAAAACAGAATGTGAACTCCCTGCTTCTCCTTCCAGAACAGATGCTGTGCATCTATCTACCAAACGTTTTTACTGGTATTCTATATTAATAGTACTGCCTGCCAAGGTTGCTTTGCCTACCTATTCTTCTGTGAACCACTGTTCAAGATCATCCAAACTTACGTTGCCTTCTAAGTGCTGGTTTGGATTCCACTTTCTGAACAATCTAAGCCACTGAGCCGTACTTTTGTCACCAATGAAGACTCGTAACTCTCTCCAATCCCTATCAAGGTCATGGTCTCTATGGTTCACTGGGAGATGAGCCTTATAGGCCAATTTACAAAGTAGAAAACTGGTATAGAAGCACTTTTGAGGGGGGAAAAAATATAGACTGGGTGACACACTCAGATATTCTTCTATGGTCTAGTAAAGCAAGGAAGCTCTACAGAGGTAATATATTAAGTGACTTTCTCAAGGAGGGCACATTATTTACCTGAGAAGCTATCTATATAAGAAAACAGATTGTCTCTTTGGTGTATACAGCATTCACATCTGGCATCCAGGAACTTTTTCACTGCTTTAAAATTCAAAGAGCTCACTGAATGATTAAGCCAGTAAATTCTGAACAAAAAAACAGTTTACAGTGGTTCTGAATACTGTGCAAATCATAGCCATAAAATTGATATAAACTATGGGAGCACTAGATGTTTCATCCAAACTTACTTTGCCTTCTAAGTGCTGGTTTGGATTCCACTTTCTGAACAATCTAAGCCACTGAGCCGTACTTTTGTCACCAATGAAGACTCGTAACTCTCTCCAATCCCTATCAAGGTCATGGTCTCTATGGTTCACTGGGAGATGAGCCTTATAGGCCAATTTACAAAGTAGAAAACTGGTATAGAAGCACTTTTGAGGGGGAAAAAATATAGACTGGGTGACACACTCAGATATTCTTCTATGGTCTAGTAAAGCAAGGAAGCTCTACAGAGGTAATATATTAAGTGACTTTCTCAAGGAGGGCACATTATTTACCTGAGAAGCTATCTATATAAGAAAACAGATTGTCTCTTTGGTGTATACAGCATTCACATCTGGCATCCAGGAACTTTTTCACTGCTTTAAAATTCAAAGAGCTCACTGAATGATTAAGCCAGTAAATTCTGAACAAAAAAACAGTTTACTGTGCAAATCATAGCCATAAAATTGATATAAACTATGGGAGCACTAGATGTTCTAACACTGGTCTTGCTTCACAGCTTTTCCACTACCCAAAGTAACAGCCTGGTGTGAGAGAGTTTACAAACCCTCCATCTTTCATTTATCTAAAAAAAAAAAAAAAAAAAAAAAAAAAGGCAAGTAAAGGCTCATCATATATTATGGTGTGTCCTGTCTTGCTACTGTGTGCTTATTCTCTTCCTTGTGTTGCATCCAAAGCAAGAGCCTGCAAAGCAAGCTGTTAAATGCAACAATACTTTGCTACATACAATACAGCAGTGAGCAAAGCTCCTTCTCAGCAGCCAGGCCCTACTTGGCAATCATATTGCTGTTCTCAGATTGACAGAACTACCACGTGCCCCCTTCTGTGAAGAAAATATCTGATTTGCCTTTTTCCACCTGAGGTAGTAACAGGCAAAGGGAAAGGCTAATATGGCAAAACTAAAAATGCTGAGAATTAGAGAAACAAATGGCCTTTAAACATATAACTTTAAGTTTGTAGAGTTATACATATAACTTTAAGTTTGTACAGTTATAATTGTTCAGTATATTTATTTAATAATAGCAATGCATTCCTTGATGTCTTATACAAGAATTGAGGGAAACTCAATATACCTTTACATCAAGTCTTCCAAACTGAAAGAGATGTAATAGTGATATATCATCCTCAAAAGCTGGACTACTAAACTAAAATAAGCATTACATTGCAAATTTTATCCAGCGCACAAACGACTGCAAATAAAACACAGTAGTGCACACCAGTGCAGGACATACAGGAACCGTCCTCAAAACCCCTGTCATTGAAGACTCAAGAAACTTCATCCACAAACACTACAATAAAACCCACTGTCCAACCTACATTCTGCAGGAATTTTTTTGAGCACTTTTAAAAAAATATATATTGCTGTTAGCTTTAATTTCATAGTGTTTAGACACTAGTGCAACATCCTGTATCAGTTCACAAACACTGAAGTACTAGAACGCAAAGTACTATCAGTGCTAGTTAAGAACTTCACTCAAACCATGTCAGTACCCATTTAATGTGGCGCGCACATTTCTAGAAAATGGTAAATGTGCTTTTCCATCATGTTAGTATGACTGATAACACAATTAAACCTACATTTTTTGTCATGATGTAAGTTTTTTAAAAAAGTAGGGCTGGGGTTTTTTTATGTGCTAACATATGCTAACTAAGGCCTCACCTAAGAAAAAGGAACATAAGTAATTCCAAGTGAAATCCTTGAGTGAAGACAATCAAGTTAGCAACATTTAATTTGAAATGTACTGAGTTAAAACATGTTGATACTTCTGTTCTTTGACAGATTGCCTTACCATCCACAGATTTTAATAAGAGTTTAAAGTCAGTGCATATCTCTTCTCTTCCTAGAAAGGGGGACTCTTCCCTCAATGTTGTGTTTCACAACTAAATAATGCATTTTCACATATGTCCAGGTGCAGATATATAAAGAGATATAGAGCTCAGAAAAGAAATTAAAATTTTATTTCTGTGAGGTCTGGTGTTTTTCTGCTTTTTTTTCCCCTCCCCCTTTCTTATAGAAAAAGGAAATTAGAGCAAATCTTCTGAGTCGAAAGCATTATTTTCAAGTGGCCGCCTCCAGTCGGCACGCCGAGCAACAGGCTCCACACACGGGCCTGTACAACCGACTGCGGCCTCGGGGATTCGGATCCCAACATTGACCAAAACAAAAAAAAAAACAAAAACAAAACAAAAAAAAAAAAAAACCCCAAAAAAACCCCCACAGGACCAGGAACGCAGGGCCCCACGCTGGGCCCCCACCCCTTTGCGAGGCAGCTCACAAGGGGACCCCCCCTCTCCCCCCCAACAGCCCCCATTCACGGCTTCGTGAGCCCGGCTGCTTGTTTCCATCGCTGTGCAGCTCGGTTTAGTTACAGTGAATCAAGAGGGGGAAGGCTCTGGGGGAGGGCAGGGGATGGCCGTGACAGACCGGCACCGGGGGCCTGTGAGGGAAGGACGAGCGCAGGCCCCGCGTGAAGGCCGTAAGCGGCCCCGCTCACCTCATC